TGCAGGGAATAAAGAATTCATGCTAGTGGGCGATCGCACGATCCTTTATTTTTCTGATAAAATTAATAGTATGTAAAATAGAGGTTAGGTTTGAAATTGAACTCAAATTGGACTCAGAATTCGGGCATAATGGAAATTTACGGGATAGGAAGATAAAGCTGAAAGTATTGGGATCAACAGTTTGCTTTTTATTGCAGATGCGTTTTTGGAGGAATTGGTTATTCGACGAGAATTGGCACATAATTTTGTCTACTATTACAAGGATACTTATGATACGGTAAGAACTCCAGAAAATGACATGTTTTAGTGAATTTGCCGAGGCGGGTTTGCCGCCAATATCAGTGAAATGACAACTGATAAAAGTAAGAAAATGCATCATGTTTTTAGTTTGACTGCCTGCCAGACTGGGCCAAGAAAACAATGGATGAGCATCGTCACGATAAACGCAAACATATTTATACATACCGAGAGCTGGAAGAGGGGCGTACCCACGATCCTTACTGGAATGCGGCGCAGTTTGAACTCGTTTACACTCACAGAGTAAGCTCCTATTAAGTTTAATTGAGTGGCCTTGCATTCAGCCACCCATCCTTTTCATCCACCACACAAAGAGATGTTTTTTGATTTAACTTAGAATTAGTTTTTGATCAAATGTTGATTGATTGTGGTGTATTTTCATGGCGCAGGACAGGTAATAAAGGCCAGTAAAAATGCGCAGAAAAGCATTTTTACTGTGTGGCGTTATAGCACTTTTACAGCGAGCAAAACCGCATATTGTCGAGAGATCGTTTGTGTGTGTGTGTGCGTGTGTGTGTGTGTGTGTGTGTGTATGTATGTGAGTGTGTGTGTGTCCGCGGAAGCGAATGAAATTTATCACCCACTTTCAACTCAGCAAGTAGGAAAGCTAGAAATCTGGGATTTCTGGGCCATATTTCCACCCCGTGTGTCACCGTCCCGTTTTAAAATCTTCGTTGTTACGCGCCTAGATCTCGCGTACCGGCGCCCGAAAAAATATGCATATTTCGTTGGCAAAAAACGATTTTGAGAACCAGGCAAAATACGAAGCTGAAACTTTGCAGGAATAGTCTACGTGCTTGTATGAGCTAAAGATTTCAAATTCGGCCACTGCGCACGCTTCTACAGTGTGTGCGATCACGTCAAAATTCGCACTTAGCACTACGTTAACGCGAAAACTAGCTGGAAAACAGTGACTGGAATTTCGTCGGAATATTTGTCGTCCATATTGGTGTATGCTTAAATTCAGTTCCGATTTGCGCTTGCGCCACGAATTATGGTGCTTCAAAAGTATTTCTAGTGAAATGGCTGTTTCGCTAACCGAATAAGATTGTGGGCTGATACTCGCTGGGATATTCTGTTCTCATGTGTAGTTTGGAGGTGAAATTCCTTGCAGGTGCGCTTGTGAAATACTCAAATTTATCACACACTTAAAAGCAGTTTGCAGATTTCATAATCCCCTTCCGACCCCCCAAGTTTGCACTTTTTCAATGAACGAGCACGTTTTGGGAAACACCGGACTTCATGCAAAAAGTTGATAATCACGTGCACTGGAAGTCTGCGCCTCTATAATGCAACACCTTCATTCCAGCCTACGTCCTTCCCCTTTGCATGTAGGAAGAGATCGAAACATAGCCAGTATGAGTCCAAGTGTTAAACTACAGTGTAGAGACCATTCCTGCTGTTAGCGACCTGCAAGTTTAGCGCAAAAACGCAAGATCGCATAGGCAAGTCTGGTGCGTTCCAGCCTGATTTTATTTTACGCTTGGCTTATTTGTAGAATGAAATATTCAAATATTTTTCTTAT